CAAAAATGGGAAAATGGTCAATCTGCAGCCATATTTTTCTAAGCTGCGATATTCTGTGTTTGGCAACTGATTAAGGTTATAGGATTTTGAATACAATAAAATACAAGTATGTACCTACAACATATTTTATGACTTTGGTTCTTTTTTCATATTTATATTCCTTGTATCAGCTTATGAAATCAACGATAAGACTTTTTTTCAAGCACAAATTCGGTCCTTAAAAAATATCATGTATAAAAAAAAATTATCAATTACTCTACTCTTATCCTACTTAGCTATAGGTACCCAACAAAATAAAAATATTAAATATCCAAAGGATTTAATGATAATAGGTTGTTATAACTTATTATTATATTTATAGTACCAGCTACTGCAGTATATTATATATTATTTTTTTTTTTTTCAAATAATATAAGTTTATATTGTTTGACAAGAAAAAAAATGTAATTATTTCTCACAGTAGTTATTATAATTATTATATCCTATATGAGTATTCAGTATTGTATATACATGTATAGAAAACGCCGTTATAGCGTTATTTGTATTCTTTGTTTCGAATAGTTTCTGTATGTATAGGTACCTAGTAAGAAACCTGCAGTGAAACATCTCCGTTACAAAATGATTTAGTGTACACTTACAATTTTTATAAGTGCAACTACTACACATTAACGTTTAATTGGCCGGTCACGTCTATATATCTAACGCCACACTAGATCGCAGTGATAATAATCTACAGTATAAAGTTTAGCGATTTTCCGTTTTCTCCAACCGAATTTTTCATTCCACGTATGACCGGGATATATGAGGAAAAAAAGAACGGAAGTAACCATTAACACGGAAACCGGTGAGATCACAGAAGCGTAAAATATATCAGTGTAGGAGACTCGTCGTCAACACAATATATAATGATATAAAGAACCTTAAAATATCTGAGGATCAGAATGTTATAATTAAGATTAGAGAGATATATAGTACCCAAGTAGGATAGTTCTACAAAACACACAAATAAATCGATGACTGAAATATCAAAATGTTTATTTTATTATTAATAAACTGTGTTATTAGTTTTCCTCGTTTTGTATGATTATATGGCTTCCGTACAACGTCTTCTGATCTTTTTATAAAAACGATATCACAAGTCAATACAGATTGTCATCGGTTGCACGAAGAGCGCAAAGCTTATCGGGTGGAATGCACCTTATATTTACGTAAGGTCAGGTTATAATATTATAATACTAGTATTATACTATTATGTTAGTAAAATATTATAGGCATTTTGATTTTTAGATTACATTTTTATGAAAGATTTTTTTCGGTAGGATTGTTAAAGAATAGACTCTAGATAATGCTTAAATACGCTCTGATAAGAAAAAGTAAAACCTTATTGATCCCGCTATATTTATTGAATTATCCGAAAAAAAAAAAAGAAAAAAAAAGTGCAAATGCTAGAAGTTTCTAAGCCTATTTATTATTCTTATTTATTTCGTTATTATTGTTTTATTAATTTTTTTCGGTTTTAAAGTTGCTGTCTTGCGTTCTACTAAACTACAGTGAACAGCAAAATACAAAGGATATACAATTTGGATAACTTCATAAATGGTATCAAATAAAATAGTGAAAAAATATTATTAAAGATTATCGCTACGTTTTCAAGTGACAAAAAAAGAAGTGTAATTCGTTTTTTTTATAGGGGGGGTTTTTTTTTTATAATAGTCATTCGTATATATTGCACATTATTACATAAGCCAGTCATAACAATGGTAGGTACGTAACTTATATAACTTTCCCCGAGTGCACTTTTACAAGATTTATTGGGCCTTTGAGACACACAATTTTAATTAAAAGTTTTTTTTTATTCTTAATAGGTAATAACAATATCATGTCTTGTCTGAATATTAAAATATCCATATTAATTAATGAACCAAATTAATCGCCTGTTATATAGACGCAATCGAAATCCGAAACTTACTATTTAGGACAAATCCTAATTCAACTTTATAAATTATACCATTTTTTACATAGTTACCTATAATAAACTAAATATTTAAAAATATGTATATTCAAATATTAAATCGGTCACAATTTAGTGTGTATGATTTAGTTTTGATGTCTACATATGGTTTCAATCGATTTTCTAAAACTTCTACGAAACAAGTCATAATAATATGACCTAAATAATACCTAATCACTATATTTAGACATTATTTTAAAAATATAAACAATAGGTACAGTTTACTATCTGATTACAATTAACCAATAACCACATAAACACATAATCACATGATCAATTCTTACTTATTCGTCAGGGATGAATTGAATTTGCTTTCAAATTAAAACTAATGATACTGCTCTTTAGACGACTACACCGTGATATTTCTACAGTGTTTTTCAATTCGTTCGACCTCTTGTCGACAAACCCTTTTTTTTTACATGAGTTCTATTATTAATATTGTTCATTCCACAAAGGGGAATGGTAATAAATTTTCACACAAACTTTGACAAATTGGTTGTTTTGTTCTACATGCCCATCTTAAAAATGCATGTACACTCTATCATGGTGTTCAGTGATTTTTATTATCGCAAACTTCGTGTGCTCTTATTAAAGTTAATAAGACCAAACATGTTGCCTATAGTTAAATTTATACAGGATAGGTAGTTAAAATTCTATACTATATACTATATAGGATATTACATTATTATTGTACCACATTTTTTTTTATAGGTCACAAATTTCAAAGTTTCCCGCCTTGGTTAAGGTTTTAATTTCAAAAACTCGATTACGAAATTCTAATGTAAAGTCCTGCTACAATGGTAAAAAAGAATATTGGTACTTATATGCAAATTATATTTCAAATATTAACTAAGTATAACATAATACAATACATTTTATAAAGGTGCACATTAATTTGTATTCTTATTTGAATTATTGATTTTTTAACAACATTATAATTTTGTTTTTGGTGGTTTTCCTAAATTAAATGAATAGGTGCAGCGTTTTGTTTGTATTTCTGTAGTATGCCTCTAGAAAATTTTTTTTCCAAAACTTACTGGAAAAAAAACCTACTTAGGGATAGTATCTATTTAGCTGTGTGCAATTTCTAATGGATAAAAAAAAACTTATCAACCACATAAAACGTTTGAAACGCTGCTGTCCTTTTCTGCAAGAATGTGATTAGATATATTACATTATACTATATTATGATAGACCGTAACATAACTAATAAATTTATAAATAAATGAACACATCATTGTGAAACCAGTACAAAGCTTTCTCTGTACCACGTAATCGAGAATATAATTTGATTTTGTTCGTTGTTTTTTTTCGTAACAACAGACTGTTAATACAACGATGATATAATAATATATAAATATGATAGTGTGTGAAAAATATTAACAATTTCTGAGTGTAACATATTGTGAGTTATAACAAATATGATATTTCAAACGTTTACAATATATATTCACCCGTTGGATTTGAGAAAACGTCTTATAATACATTTTATATGATTTACAATATTTATTTTTACGATTTTAATGCATACGAGATTGTCAATCATTAACGTATAAGATGAATTTTTTCATGTATAATATGTTCAATTCTTGCTGGAGAGTTTATTTTCTACAGCTGATGTGGCCCGAGCTTTCAAAGAAGTCTGGGTGCAACCATACAATATTGTGTATGGGTACATAGCGTACCTACCCAAATTTTCTTATACTATAATAATATTACTTTCCAACTATTGAACCTTTCCTATTGAGTGCGATTAATACCGTTCAATAATAGGTGACCGAATAAAAACGGACGTATCACATGGGAGTATATTATATGTACTAATCCCGGTCCTGTATGGCATTTACATACCACGCAGTAGACATTCCTCATATAGAACCCTGCAGTATCCCACAGCCCTAGTCACGTTCGCCAATATTACCCAACTGATTGCCTCGGGCTCTAAATTTCCTTCTCACTACCTACTCAATAATTTATACGCCCATCAAACATTTTTTTTACGATTTGAGAATAAAAATTGATTAATTTAACGAGAATTCACCCAACACCGTGTACCTATAACACACAGTTTTTTAATTAATATTCTACCTGGGTCAGTCGCTAAAATAATATTAAATAAAAATAATACCTTGAAAATCGATCTAAAAATATAAACAGATTACCACGTCTTACAAGAGAAACGCTTATAAAACAGAAACAAAATTCTTATCTATTGAGGTTTCACTACTAATAAACTATTATGAATTAAAACTTAAAAGGCCACCACCCAACAACTATAAACACACTACTAATGATCATATACTTTTGTTATTTATTAAAGTTTTCATTAAATAAAATTTAAATTACAACTATAAAAATTATAATTGGACTAGTTATGACATATTGCATCACAACTATTTGTTACTGCATAATCCTCTATGCTACGATATTTCCAGAATATTAATTCTATTAGTCTAAACTCTAAAGCTACTCACCAAAGCTCCTAGGTTTGTAAATTATCAAAACCCGAACCATGTTTCGAAAATCCAAATAATTTCCAACTCAATACCACAAATCATTCCTTCTCAGAATCTAAACCGCTCTCACAGCTGCCCAATACGTAGCCTTAAAATATATAGGAAAAATAATATAATGATATTTGATAACGTGGAAAAAAAGCAATAAAGTAAACTATAAAAATAAACTATACAAATATTAATTGAATTTGATTTCCAACGTCTAGTCTCCAACATAGGCGTGCGCAGACTTTGTCCGCAGGGGGGGCCTCTTCAAAATTTCTGAACCAAATATTCATGTACTAATGACTACTAGACACTAGTATAATCATTAAATATTATTATAAATTATTATTTATTATTACAAAATATAGTATAATAAAAAAATCACACACAATTTATACATAAGATCCTTATTTACATAGCTATTTACAACTCCATCCTTCTGTCCACGGGAGTAAGGTTTTTGAATGTATCAATTACATCATCAATTTTTATATTATAAGCAAGTTCTTGCTCAATGAATCCTGTGTCATGGTGCTGCGTAGCTTGGTTTTCACAATACTCAGTTTAGAAAATGAACGCTCGCAAGCACAGCTCGTTACTGGTATAATCATAAATGTTTTCAATGCTTTAATAACATTACAAAATATAGTTTCCCTTCCACAGTTGGATTGTGTCAGCCAATTTATCCAATCACCACATTTATTCTTCTCGCCTTTCGGTATATTATCTGTATGTTTAAGAAGATTAATTTCTGTTTTCAACATATCAGAATTTAAATCAAATGCTGTGGACAAGACTGAAATGTCGTTGCTATTTATATTTAAAACTAATAAATTTCCAATGCTTTGAATCATATTCATTGTTTCTTGGTTAAATCTAATATTAATTCCACTAATCAATATGGTCCAATGTTGAATAGTATACAGAAACCTTCATTTCTTCTTCTTTTGAAGACATATAGTGCTGTGTACTACTCAAGCAGTCAATTTTGGTTGACACTTTTCTTTTTTTCAGTTGTGGAATTTCAATATCATAATTTTTACACATTTGAATGGTTTTATGATAAATATCTGTGAAATCGTCTTCAGTATTTCTCATAGAAACAAGTAATTTTTTTAATGACTCAACGATTTCTACAGCAGTTAATAAGTTTATGTTGGGTGACTGTAAAAAAACACTTGTTTTTAATATTGAAGAAAGAATAGGATCTAACATCAACATGGCAAAGACAAATTCAAATGTTTTCATATGATGGAGAATTCCCTTGCCTTTTGCTCGAACATCTGATTGTTTTGTATTATCAATAATTTCTTCAATTGCTGCTAATATTGACGAATAATTTTCTTTTACTGCACTAATAGCTTCTGAGCGGCAAGCCCACCTTGTGGTAGAAATTGATTTTAAAGTTTTTAACTTTGTGTTTGTTAAGTTAGCAATTTTTTCCAACACTGCATGCCGAGTACAGCTGCCTTCAATGAAATTATAAATTAATTGCATGTTACCGAAGAAATCAAAATATTAGTAATATTACCACTATCTAGTATTGTATAGATTATATATTAAAGAAAATGCCAGAGGCCGCAGGGGTGGCCGCGGCCTACCCGCCCCCCCCCCCCCGTGCGCACGCCTATGGTCTCCAATTTATTATTATAAATATATTTTATTGTGCTAAAACCTCTCTTCTATATGTTAATAGTATATTACGAATTGTAAATGATATTTTATAACGTGGACAAAAATAAACAATGGAGTTACAATGGAGTACTAAAACTTGTCTACTATGTTAATTTAACATTACGAATTGTAAACGGTTTTCATTAATAGAAAACATATTAAATACATAATACGTCTAATACCTACGCAATAATATGCAAATATTTATACTCAGGCCACAATTAAAATGTTTTCAAATTAAATTATTCTTTGTAAGTAGGTACCTATATAGACTAAAGTTATAGATTTTTCATAAGATATAATATAGGTAGTAGGCATTAGGCACAGATATTATATTAAAATTAAATACGAGTGTACCATATATCAACCGGTGTTTCAAAGGAATTTCGACAATGGACTACCTATAGAGATGTTGACTTTTACTAGTCAATTTCCTTTTTTATTTCGCTGAGAGGCAAAAATAGACTGATATCATCTCCAACGAGACTGGTTTTTGAATTAACATAGATAAAACCGTATTTATCAGAATAACATAACACGGTTATTGTATTAAGATTTGTAAAGAAGACTGTTTTAGTATATTAACTTAAAATATCTCTTCATTATTACTACCCATCTATATGAATATATATATTTCCAATACAGAAGAACTTTATTCTCTGTTCGATTTTATTTCATGCAGTATTGTACATAGGACGAGATTCACATCCTAAAGTTAATTAATTTAATTATATTTAATTTACAGAAAATGGAAAAAATATTTTCACAACAGTAAAATTGTTTTTTTTTCTTATACAATATAGATACCGACTTTATTTCATTTCATTGAATACCCTGTTTATTATTTTACTATTCAATTGAAATAAACGGTACTAATTGAAGTCTTCGGAAAAGCTTTTTGGAACAGTTTTACATTTTTCTATTAATTCGTACAAAGAATGGCACTTTTATTTCAGTGTTCATAAGACATTAATACATTTACCTACTATAAAATAATATTTTATATTATATTATTATTATTTTATATATTATATCATTATAAATTATTTGTTTAGTATGCAAACGAATATTTTGTCAAATGATATTTGCATAAAAAATCTATTATCTATTATTTAACTATTTACCTATTTTATGAATAACGGTCCATTAAATGTCACTTTTTGAAGTGTACAGTTATTTTCATTTTGTCCCTTCGATAGTAATGTAGGTTATGGGTCCAGTCTCTTGGACTCATATTTATAGTAATGGTTCAAACTTCAAAGTCTACTGTATAAAAGCATATGTAGGGATTTGTATTTACCTTTTATGTTATCATAAATATTATTCTTTTAAACTGATCATTAAATGTATGAGAGTACATTCTTATTTTATGAAAATATTTTTCTTAGATTCAATGTAAATCGACATGAAATAACAAAATAATTTAATGAAAACACAATTATGCAATCTCTTAAGAACATTATACCCGGGAAAATTATTACAACAAACACTAAAATATCTATTAGATTATATTTATTTTCCATGACCATCATGTATTTTAATTTTTATTTAATCAATTTTATCTGTTACTGTTATTTTAATTGTTTAAGACAGTAAATATCACTACATTGTGTGTTCAGAAATTTTGCAACATAATTATTTCATACAATCTTATACAACTTATAAATGACAATATAATATTTACTGTTTAATATAATAATAGTAATTTATTTATTTTGACAGGTTAAATGCCTAAGTCTAGTGTTGTGAACAATTGTTCAAGCTTATACGAATGACTATATCTGGTATCTAAATTAAAAGTAATAAGTTAAGATTTCTCTGGGGGTATAATATGCTAAACTTTGGAAAATAAATTTATAAAACTGTACAAGAAATAAAATTAAAATGGAATTCTATAAAAGGAGGGCATGTACTGAATACACATAGTCACGAGATTTTTAAAACAAATCAACAAAAAATCGTAAATAAGTTACGCATTTTGAGAAATTAACAACTATTTTATCATTAAACAACCGAATAATGTACCAAGTCTCGGTCTTGAAAACCAAAGAACATCACCTCTAAAATAAGAAATTTGAAATTCTTAGATTTGTGTATGAAAACTGTTAACGTGAATTATGTTTGTTGGTACTGTATAGCGGTATGTAGGTACTTGTTTTATTTTACGGGAATACGAATTCACTAATTTGACTGCTTAAATATAATGTTTTAAATTGTAAACACGTTAGAGAATTTACAGTTTTGTAATACACAGTTTATAATAATATGTGTGATTATCACTTTAAACATAATTCATCCACAAATGTTTTAAATTACCCTCATGATTTCGTCTAAATGTATTTACCTACTCATTTATCTCGCATATTAAAGTCCTTGTAATTAAAACATTTTAAGAGTATTCATGAAAATTCATCTCATTTCGTGTCTGTACAATACCAATTAGGCTATGGACTACAATATAATATGTTTTAAACAATGCAACCCGTATGTCACTGAATTTGTCTCCTAGAAGTGAACACCTATATCAAAAACGATGGGGTAAAGTCGATAAAAAAAAAAAAAATGTATATAGGTACCTGCAATAAATTTTTTGTCAATCGAAAAAAAAAATAATGATAGAAAAGTCTGTTGAATTTTTTTTTTTACAATATCGTGTCTTATTCAGTCGAATGATCGAAAAAGAAAACTTATTTTGTAGACCATTCAATAAGTGATGGAAAAAAAAAAAAAACAATTTTATCAACAATAAACGAAAATGCCCAAAAACAACCCCGTGGAGAAATGTCCGCGTTTTTTTTTCGGGGAACTAGCAGATGAAAAGAATTGAGTTCGATAATAGGGTTGAACAATTGGAACAGATAACTGGAATCTCTCCAAAGCATGTTGACTTGTAAAGACCGGTTATATGGAGAATGGTGCTAATAAACCGAAATTGATTTTAAACTCATTACGCAAAGTTAATAATTCAATATACTCGAAACTGCTAACAAAATAGCCAGTGATGAAACTTTAGATTAACGTGTCGGTCATTTCACAAGAGATGGTTCATTTATCAATTCATTTTTTTTCTGCAAGAAATAATTTTTTAAATTTCAAACTGTTTGTAGGTAAACTAAATATGATATCTTAACACTCCTCCCATACATATAAAATGTTACACGAATAAAATATGTATTAAAAAAAAATTTTCGTCAAGTTAATACTTATATTTACTAAAATATATATAAAGTTTTGGTGACAATACAAAAAATTACCGATAGAAATCTACAGTAAATTTACGTTGAACCAAAATGTTTATATATACTGGGTGATTCTTTTATCAAACAACACTCATTATTTCAAAAAGTGTAAATTTTTTTGAAGATATTTTTTTACATAGTTTCAAGTTGCTTGTAAAACAACGTTTTTATTAAAAAATTATATTTTTAATTATTTTTATCCTTATAATTTTTTAAGTTTTTTACTTTTTTGAATGACAACATAGGGTTTTAATTTTATATTCTAAAGTAGAATATTTTTCTTAGTATTTTGATACATGAAAATTGAATTTGGGGCGAGTAGTTTATGAGTTATAAGTAATTAAAGTTTAGACGGGCGGTGAAGTGGACAAACATTTCGCGGGGTAACCCCGAACCACTCAACTCCGCTCGTCTAAACTTTAAATACTTATAACTCATAAACTACTCAACCCAAATTCGATTTTCATGTATGAAATACTAAGAAAAATATTCTGCTTTGGAATATAAAATTAAAACCCTATGTTGTTATTCAAAAAAGTAAAAAACTTAAAAAATTATAAGGATAAAAAATATTTAAAAATATAATTTTTTAATAAAAACGTTTTTTTATAAGCGACTTGAAACTATGTAAAAAATATTTTCAAAAAAATTATCTAACCTAACCTTTTTGAAATAATGAGTGTCGTTTGATAAAAGAATCACGCTGTATATATCTATAAATAATATAGACATATATAAATGAATGTTTGTGTGTGCGTGTGTGTCCTAAACGGCTGGATCAATTACGATAAAATTTGGTACAGGGATATTTTAGACCTCTGGTAAGAATATAGGCTAATTTAAAAAGGGTAAATTCCAACTCAAACACGGATTGTGAGATTTACAATGGATATTTTTTTTGTAAATGGTAATGGTTGCTAGCTATTGGTTTTGATAATAATTAGGTATTATTATTAAAGCGATAATCATGTTGGCTCAGTGGCACTTCTACGTATTAAAATATATAATGCATCAAGCTCGACTCGATGGACCAATTTTATTTTATTGTTTTTTTTTTTATTTTTCTTCTTTACTTATGCGTACAATATTTTTGGTTTTTATTTTTATTCAGTAAGGTCAGGTTAGGTTAGGTTAGGTTAGGTTGGAATTTCGTGTTAATTGATTGTATTAATCCACGGTAAGTCGATTTAAGTACAAAACGACAGACTTGCTATAACTTTGATACTTCAGAGTTAAATTATACACTTACGTACAAACCACACGGCACACGGGGTCCGCGATCTACCGCAAGTAGATTGCCTACCTGATAATATACTGCTGCGAATCTCACGGACAACGCCGGTCGAGACGGCTATACATTAAAATATAATAAAATTTACACTTAAAAAGACATTGCTTCCACAGCGTGTTACACCCAAAAGGAGTCGAACAATCAGAATTTTTTCCCTCGCAACGCCGCGGGTAATTCAGCGAGTTATTGTATAAATATGTAAAGAGATCTGTAAATCCGTGTTTACAAATTTTCCAGACATTGTATAGTATTGTCATCCTGGAAGTATATTATATAATATAATATAATATAAT